TTCGGGGCTGCTGTTCTCCGGCCAGATTTTATTCTCCGGGACCAGGACTGAAAATGAGAATTCCAACACTGCGCCCGGTAGTCGGTCTCAGCGGCCGGCTCAGCTCTGAGAAATTTCACGGCAGCGGCCGACCGCGCCGGGCTGGCCTCCGACACCGGGTGAACCGGCCACGGGAGCCAACGGGTCACCGAGGCCGGGAACAGACGCCGGAAAACTGCGACAGTCTGGGCTGGACCGGCGACTGTCGAGAGCCTGGGCTGGACTGGCGACAGGCGAGTTGGATTGTGGACCGAGCTGGACTGGCCACTGTCGGGAGCCTGAGCTGGACTGGACTGGCTACAGGCGAGTTGGCTTGGAGACCGAGCTTGACTGGCCACTGTCGGGAGCCTGAGCTGGACTGGCGACAGGCGAGTTGGATTGGACACCGAGCTGCACTGGCGGAAGGCGAGCTGGACTGGCGACAGGCGAGTTGGCGTGGACGCCGGGCTGGAATGGCGACAGGCGAGCTGGATTGGGGACCGGGCTGGAATGGCGACAGGCGAGTTGGATTGGAGACCGAGCTGAACTGCCGAACGTGAAAACACGACCGAGCCAACACTCCATCAACGAAATGGTTTCTGCGTGGGACGTTTTTGTATTTTCACGAGCGTTTCATGGCAAATCTGCCCCCCCCCCCCGCCCAGGCCCCAGAATGCCGGAAACCTAGCCGTTATGATGAAAACTGTCATGGGTTCGGTAGTCATACATCTACCGCAGTAGCGTGACATAGCCGGGCGTTCCGTGAACAGGTTTTGCGTCCCGCGGAGGGCGGAATTGATGACGTCACACCGGCAGTGTGTCCGTCAGAGAGGCGATAATGCAGAATACTGACTCGTCACGGTTGGTACAGCCGGCGGTCACACAGAGACGCCGCTGACACGAATGGAGAGTCCACGCTGCAGTGTTAGAGGGCCTCCAGGGGGTTAGAACCAACAGCTCTAATGATGGACCGTCACAGTTGGCACAGACGGCGGTCACACAGAGACGCCGCTGACACGAATGGAGAGTCCACGCTGCAGTGTTAGAGGGCCTCCAGGGGGTTAGAACCAACAGCTCTGATGATGGACGCTAGAGACGGACGCAGGGAGGGAAGAAGAGATGGCCGCAGCCGGAGAAGAAGAGACTGCCGTAGTGAAAGAAGAACAGATTTCCGCAGCGAGAGAAGTCACAGATGAGTCACATGTTCCCCCGAGATACTGGTCCAGACGGAAACCGATACGTGCCGTGGAGGCCGCTGCCGCCTCCCAGTCGACCGGTCGGTGTTTGCGTCATCCAAGTCGGGAGCAGCCGTAGGGAGATAAGCTTAGACCTTTCCGGCCTGGCAAAGAGCTCACGACGACGGGTCGGTCTCCGTCGTTGCATGGGTGATGCTCAAGATGAGCCCACGACCCACGGGTCAGCACCAGCCCAGTAAGGGGTGACGGACTCACGGCCCACGGGCCGGCACCGGCCGAGTAACGAATGACGGGCTCACGACCCACGGGTCGGCACCGGCCCAGTAACGGGGTGACGAACCCACGACCAGTGTAGTCACTCATCACCAGCCCAGTAAGGGCTGACGGACTCACGACCCACCGACTGACGGGGTCTGCACACACACACACACACACACGGCCCGCAGTGCAGTCAGCTGAGCAAACATCCCGGGACGCCGGGTACCGACACGACCGCACCAGCACGGGCACAGTCAACGTGGAATTAGGTACACAGCCATGAGGTCTATGTGCAGTAGATGCTATTTTGCTGGAAATATATATTCCATATGCTGACTACGGGTTTCTAAGGGTCTTTAGGATCACACGATGTCAGACCACACGGAACACACCGCATGGGGCTAATCGGACCATATAAAAATATATCAATTATCAATATCAATAATTCTGTCCACATTCAACAAACCTGAGAGCGGGAAAAAGAGATATTCTAGAGCAGTAGGTAGAAAGTCAGATCACTGACCAACACAACTATTCAAATGAATGAGGAATTCTTAAATAAGTCCGAACTGTAACTCAAATCAATTCACCCAAATTCCAAATACCAAAACAGTGACAAGAAATTGGAAGAATATGAAAAATAGCATGTTATATCGAACAAAAAAGCAAGGCCATGATCATCCATCTAGTCTAAGAATTTTGCAACGAGATTAATTGCTTATCTAGCAAGGTTATTAGGTAAAATCAAGCACCAATTTTAAGTAATTTTGCATTCCATTATTTAATATAGTGTCACGAAAACGACCGTTCGGACAGGCCCGTTTCGCGGGATCTCCTCGCGTTTCGAGATCCCCGAACGGCTGTTTTAGTGAGGAATTCCTCAGCATGGAAATTCCAAGCGAAAACGTCCCATCCGAACGCAGGAGCTTAGGTATGGAAATGTTAGGCTTCATAAAAATTAAACACTTTAAGATACAAGGTGGGTAGATAGCCAAATTTCGATTCATTATTGGTAAATGACACACAACAAAACTAAAGCTTTGACGAAGTGTATTTCTAATCTTCCTCAGGTAAATGATAGTAATTTGTATTCGTTTCGGGCTACACTGAGGTAAAAAATGTTAAAAACCAAATATTTCAGCTTTATGGAGTAACCATGTTCACTGGTTTGACAATGCTGTTTTCTCGTTCCAACTGGTTTGACAACCAGTGAACAAGGCTACTCAATAAAGCCGAAATATCTGGTTTTTAACCATTTTTTACCTTAGTGTAGCCCGAAACGAATATGAATTACAAAACTAAAGCTCTCAACTAAATAGCACTAAAATACATGACTTACTTTGAAGAAGAATTTTAGAGGCAACGTGGCCTTAAATAGTGTATCCTACTAATTCAACTGAATCGGTATTCTGATTCAATCGATGTCATGGATGGTCATGGACAGGGATGGGGGAAAGGCTACTGCTAGCAATTACTGGGTTCCCAAATGCCGATCGATTGCAGCATCAGTGCTGCAGCATCTTCATCAGGGTCAGGACTGTTCAGCAATTCTGACTTGTCCATCCGTGGCCAGAACAAAAGAGGTCAGCAAGACGGTCGTTGAGCTCGTGTCGCTGAAGGATGCCACAGATGTAATGGCAGAGCTCACTGATTCAGACGCTGAATGCGAGCAGAGAGGAGCTCTCCCAATCAGTGACTGGCTGCCCTAAAAGCAACTTTGGAGCAAAGTCTGAGAGAAATCAGCGATAAAAGCGGAACCGGGGTGAACCGGTATCGAGACAATATCCTGAGGATGAGAACCAGAACCAAAGATAAAACACCTCATTTAAGATTAAACTGAAATGGGGACATTATACAAGATAACAATCTGAAAAAAGATGTGAAAATATTTTAAATCAGTAGGCGGAACTATGGTCAAGCGTACCCATTTCCGGGAACGCATTTTCGTTCCCATGTTTGGGAACGATAAACCCAAATATGGGAACGCCATGTAGGCATTATTTAAAACAAGAAAAAGAACCGTTAAATGACGTCCAAAAAATATAAAACGACCGTGAACCGCCTGATATTTGTCTCAATATTGTTGGGAAAGAGTTTGATATTGTAAGGCCCATCGTAGTTTCAAATCGTTCCCCTATTTCTAAAGCAGTCCATCATCCGGGCCGCGAACCCAAATTTGGGAACGCTCTCGTACACTGGCGCTGCAAGCGTTCCTTATTATGGGAACGGCGTACCCAAAATTGGGAACGATTTCACCGACGCCTTTCAGGGGCTCTTTTCATTAACAAGCATCACGTCCAACGCCGCAAATTATTCTTAACGCAACAATCATCAGATGACCTTTCCGGCAAGACCGTCGGATGTTTCGCCCGGTCTTCTGCGCTTTTATTCCCGTCGATCTCGCAGCGGACACGCCCCCCTCTGCAGGATTACGTAATTCACAACGCTCAGCGATGTTCAACAAGGTCTTCCATACCTATATCCACCGTCCGTGCCGAGGGTGGAGACATGTCAAGCACCTGTCTGCTTATCACCGATAGTTGACGGGTACAAGGAAGTATCCAAAAATGGGAACGCTGAATATGTTACACCCTCAAAACACCTAGTCCCAATGAAAATCTAGTTTTTTCCTTTCTTAATGAGTGTAAGTGGCAAAAGGCCTGGTAGGATGGGCACGAGGAATGATCGAAATCAGCATAGAAATTATAAATAAGCCACACAGAGCGACCTATATAAGAGAAATTCCCCCAAAACGATCATGCTTAGAAACACGGAAGACAAAGACCACGCTCATGACGCTCCTTATAAAACAACGCTAAACAGCTAGCATCCAAATAAAATATGTCTTTCCGGGCTGATAAAATACAGCTGAATACTTTTCGACCACTTAAACTGAGTTTACAACAGTAGTTCGGTAAAATCACGCACGTTCTACGCGGTCGTCCGCCTCGACACCAAATGTCAACAATATTACCTCGGGACTGTCCGCATGTTCGCTTGCATATGTCAGCATCGGGTGTCGCTAGTATGAAACTTCATAACCAGGCGAAAATTATTATACTTGACCTCAAAATGTAAAAAACGCTTCATTTTCCTTAAAATTGCATGTTAAACATAGTGTAACCCATGTTTTCACCATTCCGTCATTTCAAAAAATCATTAAAAATATCATTCGACGGTCAATTTTCTTGTTCAACGGTCAGATTAAAGATAATTTTATAGAGACTTAGTAGATACTTAAATTAGCGTGCACTTTTTTGAGACTTGATGCACTAATGAGTTTTAGTGGGCGAACGGCCGAAAAATTACCTTCCGTTCTCATAAATGGGAACGCCCGTTCCCATATTTGGGAACTCCGTTCCCAAAAATGGGAACGTTCCTATATTTGGGTACTCATGACCATAGTTCCACCTACTGAAATGAGAGCATTCACTCTTTCCATTTTTGCTGGGATAAAACATGAAATTCTCCAAATAACCGTACCGAACCATACTGAAAAAGCACATGCATGATAAACAAAATACATACCGAGTCTGTCAACCATCTTCTTTCTGGATTCGTCTTAAGGTCTTCAAATGAAAAATAACGTCGATACTCGATTGTCAATAGACTTGATTGCGATTGCTATTGCAACAAGTCTGCTCAACTGCACAATAATTTTAACTCTGCAATCTGTTTTCACTTCTTTTCAATATCAGTCTTCTATTCGTGGGAGAAAAACTACATAAATCGCAATTAACATCCCAAACAACCCCTCTCACACACCTTCGCGCAACAACTTTTACAACTCGTTCCTTTTACTTCAAGGTCGAATGAATAAGAGAAAATGAGATGGCAATTGGGCCAAGTGCCAACCGTTATCATATGACGTCATAGGAATTTGTATCAAGTATCGGGTTATTGTATACGCCTTTTTCAACATAAAAAGACGTGCAATGTGTAATTTTAGATATATTTTGCTAATGATTGATGAGATTCAGCCCTCTTACTTGTCTCTTCATAAAGATAAAATTTGAGTGCACTCTGAATGACTCCTTGTCTGAAACCAACCCCTTGTGGATGTGCCTCTTTGAAGCTCTTCAACATAACAAAACAAGCTGCTTATATATCATAGATGCATTTTAACAAATAGTTAGAACAAGGTAAGGCGTCTGTCATCACTTTTAGGGAAGTATGGGAAAAGCGCCGTTAGCGTCACCTATATCAACTGCTTTTCTACATGTGCTGCCACCTAAAGAAAATCGGAACGTTCCTGAATCTTCAATCCTAAAAGATAAGCGCTTTGAAACAAACCTTTAACAAAACTTAGCCTTGACCTCAAGATTAATCTAGAAAAACTAATCCTGCAAATATTACAATTTACAAGATGATTTAAAACGAATTGTAAGTCACTAAATGATTTTTACCGAAGTAGAAGAAAAACCTTTCTAATGGTCATATGATTTGGCTACCATATTCCCAGCGCGACAAAAGCTACGCAGGTTACAAATTTGTACGCATCGACCTATGTGTGTGGTAGGTAATCATTGAACGGGTGTAGTTAATGCGTTTTTTGTTGTAATATGCTGGTTAATACTGGGAATAGGACGTATAAAAATTAATTGAAGATTCAACAGAAATTAAAGAAGCAACGCGAATTCGTATCTTTTTCGATGGTTGTTGGTAATCGTGGCCAGTGGTTGTCCACTGAAGTCGGGGTCAGGGTTCTGAGTCATGAATCAAAATTAAAGGAAATAGCTCACTTTTAACATGGGGCTTTGAACTGGAATAACAGTTTCGTAGCTTGGGCTGAGGCTAGCACAAATCAGGAGCTTTTACAGCCTAACGATTACCCTAGATGAAGATATTCCATTTCCCGTTCCGTAAATGGTGCCTTGCAGATGAATGTGTGCCTTGCTGAGGAATGCAGCTACATTATCGTCAGCCAATCAGCATGCTGCCTACAGCCAACGCAGTGTGCGTAGGTTTAAACTTTGCAATATCATTGGTCAATGTGTGATAAGCTTCCGCGTAAAACATTATTTAATATAGGCAGGTTCCTAGAATATAGTTCTTCCCAGACTGGTTTTTGATTCACTTTTTTGGATTGATTCAATCATTGATTCATATGATTTTTGTTTGATTCAATCACCGTTTGATTCCTTAAAAATTTGGTGAATCGATTCCTTTTGATTCAGAGAATCAAAAAAACCATAAAAGGAATGATTCACGTTTGATTCAGCCAATTTTTTTTGAATGATTCTTTTTTGATTCAATTAAAAAATAAAATATACAAAATATCAGGGATAGTATTGTATTTGTTATGTTCTTTTTGTTGTCATGTAATGGCAGTAGTGTTAATATTTGTTGATAATGAACTATGTTCGTTCACTTCATTTTTTTAAAGTTCATGAATCATTAATTTTTTTGATTCAATCAACCCTGATTCTCAATGCATTTGATTCAATCATGGCTTGTGAATCAAACAATCCTGACGGTGAATCAAACCTTTTTGATTCAACAAATTTTGTTTGATTCAATCCAATTGATTCAATCACAGATGAACCAAACGCCAGTCTGGTTCTTCCTACATTAAAATATAGAAAATAATCCTTTGGATAAAAGGTTTTATTTTATTTTCTAATCATTTTAAGCACAAAATCATAAAATCAGTGCAAAAAACTTATTTCAGTTAAGGAAAATGAAGTATTCCCTTCAACTCTTGATTGTACACCTGCTTTTTGAAGGAAGTATGCCACTTTCAACATGAGGTTTTGAACTGGAATGGCAGTTTTGTAACTTGGTGCCTTGCAGAGACTAGCACAACTCAGGAGCTTCTATGGCCCAATGACCAGAGCTGGGCGCGTTCCTCGATTTTCGGTAGTGCGTTAGCGTTCCTGCGTTCCTCCGGCCGCGGTTAGTGCGTTCCTGGAATAGCGTTCCTCAATTTTTTTTCGCTCGGTGCGTTAGCGTTCCTGCGTTCCTGCGTTCCTCCCTCAAAGATACCGCCGAACCACGCGGCGAGGGCCCAACCAAACACGGGGCGAATCGATCACAAAATACCCAGAATGGCGACGTGGAGCAGAAAAGCAACTCGACATCTCTTTTCCGAATCAAATATCTGAAATACGTTTTACCAATATCATCCGTGGGGTTTTCAACAAAAATACGACCTGCTTAAAAACAATAGTTAAGTTAAAAGATGTATCTTAGTAAAAGTTATCATATTTACTGTACACATTTAATGCCTGAAACTGAATCGAATAATAAACAGCACCACTAAAAATATTTACACACTTAATGCCTGAAACCGAATCGAATAGTAAACATCACCACTAAATCTAAGCAAGCCTTCCTCGATTCGACCGACAAGTGGCGCCTCTACCGGCGAACACACGTACTCGAGATTCAAACATTTGACACAGAGGTCATTGGCAGCAATATAATTTTTCGGGTGGTTCCGCAAGAACGCAGGAACGCTTCAAAATTTCGGGTGGTGCGTTCCTCTTACTTGCGTTTCTTTGAAAAACTTTGCGTTCCTGCGTTCTTGCGTTCCTAAAAAGGGCGGTGCGTACGTACGGAAGAACGCAGGAACGCACTAAAGGAACGCACTTGCCCAGCTCTGCCAATGACAATGATCACCCTCCACAAAGATATACCATGCCTCAATCCAAAATCAGTGCTTTACACAGGAATTTAGTGTTTTATGCAAGAATGCCAAGAATGCAGCCACCTATCACAGATGTCAATGTCAAGCAATCAGCATGCAGTTGGTTTTGAATTACTTACACCACCTGATTGGTCAACGTGCATTAAGCTTCCGTCACAAGCACTACTTAGTACCTACCTATTTAGCCTCTACCAAAGTTGAACTATAGGTAGTTCGTCCTTTTTTATGAAAATTATTTTAAAATTTCTTTTGTAGATATAAATTATTTTCTTTTGTGATCATTTTAAGCATCAAATTGTAAAACTGTAGCAAAAAACTAACTTTAGGAAGGTGGTATGTTTCTTTAGCAGATGATTCTTTTTTGTGTTCTTTCTTAAAATTAAGGAAGTTGTTGAAGAAAGTCTTTAATTTCAAGTGACACTATTTGATGTGTAAGAAAAGGTGGTAAATGAAAATGTTATGAATCACCAAAAATCTGAGGCCGAGCTGGGACTTGGGTTGGGACGGGTTGGGACAAGGCGGTTGGGATTGGGAGATGAGCTTGGATGCCATGAATGCTTTTGTTGTTCTCATTGGTCAACTTTTGCTGAGCTGCCTCTGATGAAATCAAGTAGGTATAATTGCATTTTAGGTACTTATGGAGGTTGGAGATGCCAACTAGGTAATATTACTATTGTTTGCCTTTGTTTTTCAGCCCTTTTGGAGGAGCCATTTAGAGTGGGTCACTTCCTGCCCCAGGACCTCAAGATGCCTCTCTGTGGACCCAAGTGCTCCCTCTGTGGACTGATTGTTAGCGTTTGGGGCATCATCCAGCTGGTAAGTATCGGTTCACATGTTCAGGTTCTTTATGGATTAGCTGATTAAGATCAGTCCTCAAAGAGGGTCTCATTGTCATTTTTTTTTCACCCTTAGCACAGTACACACCTTGTCATTTGTTTCAGTTAGGCACTATAAAATTAGCTTATGTTTGCTTATCCATCGATAATGAATGAATGCTCCTTTGGTGTTCAGTTGTTTGACAATATGTTTGAAGCTGTATCAGTAGTGAAGGTTCATTTTGTAATAGTAGGTACTGCTGGTCTGGTTTCACCTCTGACCTTTGTCGTCCTGCAGTCCATTATGGGCGGCCTGTTCATGTGGAACAGCATTGGTCTGATCGAGGACCTGGGACTCGAGGAGCACTACGACACCACCGAGGAACTGTACAAGGCTGCCGACGACGCCTACAGCAGTGTAAGCACCTGTGGGACTCTGATATCAGCGAACAATATACACATGGGTTGAGACTTATTTTTATTTACAGATACCTGAGCACGTAAAACCATCTCATTCCCAGACCATTTTCATTTTCGGTCTTGTGTAGTTTGTTTTTGATCGTGACTCTACATCGGTTTTTCAGATTGCGTACAATTGTTGGATAGCGGCGGCCATCTACCTGGTGACGCTGGTCATATCGATGCAGCAGTTCCACGTGAACAAACAGGCGGGCCACTTCCAGCTGTGAGGGTAGCCCGGCCGACTTCCCACTGTCTGTCTGTCTCCCGGCGCGCACCTCCCGGTCGGCCCGACCACCCGGGTCCGGCCACTTCCATCCACCCAGCCAGCTGAGGGAGGACGCGCCCGCCGAGCTGTGGCCGGATCCACTCCCTGTAGTTATGGGCCCGGCCACTGTGAACGCATCCTGTAACATTATCTGTATATAATCATGTTTAGATGGATTTACCGTGTGTGCGAGAAATTGTCCTAGAAGATATGTTAGGGAGCTTGCAATATTATCACGTGCTTGATTGTCCGATTATGTGTCACGTCCCGTATGTTTCGTGGAAGGTTTGCGGTCAGTGAGCGCCCTTTGTGATTCTGTACTCTGTAGCGTCATCGGTGGTCAACCGAACACCATATTGACGGTGAAGGAAATCTGAGGATACTACATTCCAGGAGTTTTAGAGCTAGCGATGTCATACGAGTCTGATGGATGCATATTGCTTGACTGGGCGCCGCCTGTTTTAGTCAGCGAATGGCGGTGAAACCTTGAGCCCCGAGGAATAAACGCAACTGTCTGAACACCGTGGCATGTTGCGTTCTCGATCGGATAAAAAGCTAAGAAAAGTGCTATGGTGGCTATGTGATCAGTGTTTCCGGCTAGGGATGAGAAGACCGCGAAACCCCTAGCTGCTTTTACGCTCGTCTTCGCCAAGACATCAATGTTCAATAGATTAGTTGTCTATTAGACTGGCCGATTCAGAAATCCACACGTCCGACATTAACGTACTTCGACTTTGGTGTAGTTCTGCTTCCCGGTCGTGAGCGTTTGTGACCAGTGACGCCACCTACTTAAACATTGTACACAATACTTCATATGTAATAGGTGCGCTTTATTAGACAATGCGCGTGTCTCCGCGGCGCGCTGCCATGGCAACGGCCGCTCCGTCACAGCTCGCTCAGATCGCCGGGCAGTCTTCCGGCGACTTGGGCCGCCCCAACACAAACAGGAGCCAACCGAGTGGCGCCCCGCGACCGCAGTGGAAGCATTTACCGGCGCGACCCACCGCCGGCTATTGCAGCAAACGTCACTCGATCCAACCGCCGCGCGCCCAACAACACTTCGACCTAGAGTTAGACACGGCGAAGACGCAGCAGGTGGTTGAAAATAAATAATCTGACAGCCGGCGACGACCTGTCTGTCCGTGATTCGGGTCAGTAGCCGCGGTCTGGCCCACAACAGGGGGCTACGGAGGAATCGGACCAGGCCGCGGCGTCACACCGATAACAGACACCCCAGCGGGCGCGTATGAGACGCAAATACTGCATACTCTCAATAGATGTCTGAACAGGCAAGCTCGGCTTGGGGAATGAACATACCGAAAGACTACGCGTTGAGAACGCGCTAAACAGGCTATGAAAACGATAGACGAAAAATAATTCCAACAGCAGGAAACGGAATCAAAGCGTCTAAAAACATCACTAATCTGTACAAAAGAGTTCAAGAAGACGCGTCGGCGCCGGCAGTTCAATATCGTCAACTCACAGAGGACATTCAACTCTCACGCTGGTAGATCTTTTCGAGCATCTTATAGAACACCTTGTGCGGCACTCCACGCGAGGTCTGCTCGATGAGACGGCAGATGAGTTCGTAGTTGTTCAGCTCGTACTTCTTGTAGACGGAGATAAGGTTCAGGTCGGTGTACAGCTGCTTAATTTGCTCCACCTTCTCCGGGTCGGAGCTACCGTAATTGTCCTGCAAACGAGAGGCGCAAGTTAGGGCAGTCCTGACGAGAAAGTGATGTGCCAGCGTTCAGTGGATTCATGAGTGCTGTATCAGGCGGCAGAGGTAGTGATAACACACGCCAGCAGACAAGGGGCTGGGTAGAGGGAACAGTACAACTGTAACGTAATCTAGAGGTGGCAAAAGATGAAAATTTTGGGAACCAGACTCGGACCAGACCCGGCTAGACATGTCTGGAACCAGTCGGACCCGGTCTTAGTTGGAATCGGAACCAGTTGGACCCGTTCCCCAAAAGTCAATTAATACAAACTACTTGTAGGTATCATTAGTTGCACCATGTAAAACAGCCTATTTCCCACTGGGAATTCTCATGAGCTACTGTGTGCAAAGAAATACTCACTTCATTCACTTCATATTTTGCCATTATGTGTAGTGTGCAAGATGTATAGTTTATGGTAGGACCCGGTTGGACCCGTCAGAAAATTTCCAGGGGAACCGGTCTGGACCCATATGGGTCCAGACTGGTTCTTTGGACCGGGTCCTCGGGTCCACATTTTGCCACCTCTAACGTAATCCAAAGCTCCCTAGTCAATCCCGCGTGTAGATAAACTGGAAATGAACTTTTCTCTCTACGATGTCATAAAAAAGCAGGGGTCATTTGACATCCAAGACCATTAGGATCACAGACCTGTCCTGCCAAAGTAACTTCCCAGAGCAGCCACGGCCCACACCGTTTCCCGGCCCAACCGTGTCGCGCCGCCCGGCGGACAGTGTTCTCAGGTCGCCTGTGACCTGCGTACCTGTATAATCTGCTTCTGTACCCGTATGATCTGCTTCTGTGCCCATATGATCAGTTTCCGTACCTGTCTATGATCTGCTTCTGTACCGGTATGATCTGCTTTTCTACCCGTATGATCATTTTCTGTACCTGTATGATCAGTTTCCGTACCTGTATGATCTGCTTCTGTGCCTGTATGATCTGCTTCAGTACCCGTATGATCTGTTTCCGTACCTGTATGATCTGCTTCTGCCGTCCGGAGGCCCGCTGTAGTGCTACCACCACCAGCCAGGAGCACTTGCCGTCCTGGATGTCGGTGCCCACCTTCCCCGTCACGGCCGGGTCGCCGAAACAGTCCAGGAAGTCGTCCTGCGGGCACGGGCCGGGTGGAGGTCGACAGTCACTAGGACAGCCGTCACTGCTGCCGACTGTCACCGTACCCTGATCGGTGTCATACTGGCCAACAGCCGCCTGTAATGCCGACCGTCACCGTACCTCGGCATGATACCGGGCACAGTACCATAACGCGGCACATGCATGCATCATGCTTTTCGAACCGTACCTCATAATGGGTGATATGTTCATTTTTCATACCATGGATTCCACCAAGACAGTTGAAGTAGAATGGGCGCCGATGACCAATGTAGTCCGGGCGCCCAAAAATCCCAATTCATCATCATCATCATCACAGTTGAAGTACACGAAAATCATATCAAGTCTATTCTTTACATTTAACGCCATAGATGCAAGAAAAAAAATATTAAATGGCATAGGTCCTCCCCACGCTGGGTACAAGTAATAAAAGTCATGTTCCATAGACTACAAGCGCAGCATACGATTAACGGAGGGCTAACGGACATCGGGCATCTATGTACAGAGTTCGCAGACCAGCAGACGCCTGGGCGGTCAGAGGGTTAGACGGGTACCTCACCTGGACTTGGAAGAGGTTGCCCATCTCCAGCAGAATGTGCTTGGCCTGACGGTGACTCTCCGGGTCCGAGATGCCGGCCTGTGAAATAACGCACACTGTCAGCAACAGTTATGCATCTAAACATCCAGCAACCACAGCACACCTCCATCGATATCGCTCCAGCCACCACTGGTACACCGACCGTCCTCTTCTCTGCCCACCGTCCATCAGCCAGCCGCCACACTACACAATACATATCAACCAACCCATACCCCCCCCCCGACCGACCCTGTATCGTCTCCGTCTCCGCGCTCACCATGTGCATAGCCAGTGCGATGGGCAGGTGGAACGAGTAGTGGGCCGTCTTGTACTTGACAATGGCCGAGTAGCGCTCCATGGTGTACTTTTGCAGGTCGAGCTTCCCGCTCTGCGCGCCCAGCAGGTCCAGACTCTGGCCCAGCGTCGTCTTCATCGTAGTCTGGAGATGGAGGTGTCATCGATGGAGGTGTCAACGAGAGGCAGAAGACATCGAGATAAACACACAATTCATCACCCTTTAATTGTCACGTAGCACAGTATAGTTCTGATGAAAACAGGCAGCTTGAATATCGTAAAATGAATACCAATGATGCAATAAGAAACCGCTTTCCGACGCCTTAACTTCTCACCCACACCACTTTTTCAACTCCCACACTTGCTTATCGCACTGTCCCAGCTCCAACTCAACCCATTACATGTATCCTTTCTCCATCCCTCCCGTCCCTCAGTCTCCTCTCCCTATCCCTGCCATCCCTCAATCCAGTGTTCTAAAATTGGATATTGGTTGGGTGTGCCGATGAAGAAAAAAATCCTAGGATGAGAAAAAAGAAAGTAAATAACTGCACTATTTTTGCAAAATGGTGTAATGCCAATTTTTATGCTAACTGATAAACCAGGATTTCATGTCAGGATCTTGACAGGGTGTGGAACAAAAGGATGTGGGTGCATCAACTGTCAAGTGACAAGTGAACTGGCTGTTGGGAATACATGAAACTCTTTTCAGAGATGAAGTAAAGTCGGTCATTCATATTTTAGGGATGAAAATATTTTCCCCATTAGGTGTGAATTGCCACCAAAAAGGCTGAAAAATGAAACACTGCCTCAATCTCCCCATCCCGTCCGTCCCCGTGTCTCACACTGTGGAACAGGTCGATGAGGTTCGGGTAGTAGGGCTCGCTGCTGCAGTGCAGCTTGAGCAGCTTGTATATCCCCGCCTCCATCAGAATGGCGTCGTTGATGGCCGGCAGGCCGAGGCCGTCCTTGCGGTACCAACACTCCTTGCCGCGCCGCGTCTCAGAGTTGTCCATAATATCGTCTAGAACGAGGAAGAACGCCTGCATCTGTGGGGCACACGGACAGGGGGTGTGAGGGGATACTGCGCGGGGGGGGGGGGTTCAGAGGCTGCGTGGGGTGATGGACGCTGACCACAGCAGCCGAGCCGACACGAACCCAAGGACGGGATAAATGGTACTGATGGTAAATGGTACTGGTGAGCTGACGAATACATCAGGCACCGAAAGTCTAGATACTCCATAGAGTTAGATAGTCTCATAAACAGCATCACTGCTGGAATTCAGTAAGATCAATGGAGACATTTCTTATGAATTATTCTAAGGTCAAGCGCATTCATAACAATATAACTTGCGCTTTGCACGTTACATTCACGAATCTGATGACATTGACTACCGATCGGTTGAAGATAGTTACACGCACGATCACACGATCGTTACACGCAATACCGACCACATAACCGTTCCGAACTGATGACCAACAGTAGCTCAGTGTTACTTACCCCTCCCCCACCCCGACACCGTCCAATCGCCAGGGGGGAGGGGACGATTCGGGAGTGTTGCATCAGCGGGCGCCGGACGCCCCCTCCCCTCCCCATGCCCTACCACCTATCCGTCAGGATGTGCCAGGATACGCGCTGCTCGAATGATCTTGCTCAAAACACAGGGCCTGGTATAGGCTACGATGCATGTTGAGCTCATCTCAATGCACTGTTCCGATATACGAACGAATTTCGGTTTTATTATTCAGAGTTATTCAGAGTTCGTATAGTTTCAAAGTCATGGTGATTAAAGCCGATTAAAAACCGATAATCAGGTAGGTA